AAAAATACAAAAGTTAGGAAACAAATAAATGAATAATATTTATTGTTTTAAATATTTAAAAAAACAGATGAAAGTTCCAAACAAGGAAATAGATGATTATAGAAGAATACTTGACTGATCCTATTGTTGCAAGATCTGAATTTATTAACATAACTTCCTGGCCTCTTTGCCAAAACACAAATCCTCACTAAGTTTCTTTTTTCAATTATTGACTCAGTTTCTTACCTGAAGTTAGATCATAATTGCAAATGCAAATAAAAGTAATTGTTGATTTTGAAGGAAGATATAATCAGCCTGCATATTTATACGTTATACTATCTGAAATTATGATACCTGATTAGGGAGAATGGTCTTCCAGTTGTAATACTCTGCATTGGTGATATATTCTCCCAAGAAAGCTCTGCTGAATTTCTCAGAAACTCCATATTACCTTGCTCCCTTTTTGAGATACCAGCTTTCCTCCAGAAGAAGCCACAAGAAATATTTTTAAGAAGAATATTTTTTTAATCTATTCTAGATTCAGAAAGTTTCAAGCACTACGTTTTCATGAGGTCCATTTCTCAGTAATGGCAACTTTTAATGGAATTTAAACATGTTATCCTCCAGCATACCCCAGACAAGTTCATTTCTATGCCCAAGTTACAACATTGTTAAGCACTGTAATTATTCTTGCTCTTAAGAATAATTATTCTTAAACAATTTTTTAAAAGGATGGAAAATTGTCCTAAGTTTATTCTCCTCTATGAACTTATCATTAATTCTGTGATGTAGTTCTAATCTTTCTGCTTCATATTAGAGGAAAGCAAATTATTTTCTCTTATCAAAAACTGATAAATCCTGATTGCAGAGAGAGAGGCTAAGAATTAGCAGGTAACCTAATAGGTCACTGAAAGTAAGTTTCAGAAGCAGAATAATATCCTCTGAATGCACATCTTTTTCAGATTGTTGGATTAATTTGGAATAATAATATGATGAGCAGACATTCTGGCCATTTCTTTTGGCAGGCAAATTGCATTTCAGTAATTCAGAATAATTACTAAAAGCTTCCTCAATGTGAGCAGATTGTTAGGAAATGGCTGGGGAGTGTTTTCAATGGGAGAGGCCACAAGAACTTCAATGATAACACCTTTTCCACCCAGCTAAAGAGAAGGAATTGATTTAAACAAGGTTGCACATGTATGTGTTCAGTTGCATCCTGTTTACTAGCCTGGAAGATCAATGAGAATAGGGGAGAAAGGCATGGGCCAATGACATCTTACAGGATGGTGCAGTAGCATGGATGGTATTTACATTTATGCAACAGAAATAAATGCTGGCTCCATTCAGCCACAATACCAGGGTGGGCCCATCTAGTTATGGATGTAAACTCCAAAGAGAACTAGATCTAAATGGCTGCCTGAAACAACTCCACTTTACTCTATCCAGTTAACCTCATCTCCACTTCCTATTCCTCTTTAGTTCTGAGATTGGAAATTTCATCTTCACATATTCCGTGAGACATCAAATACACTCACGTATGTTTGGCTGTGGCTGCATGATAAACCTAGAGTTTTTGGCAAGGATAGAGACAAAGCAATTTGGGATACATGTTTCTAAAAATGTTAGTCTGCCAAATATATATTGTTTGCCTCCATAAATGTTTAACATATACCTGTAAAAAACCAAATATCTAAAATGCTGTAAGTATCCAGTGCTTCTGCCTCTTCACTGCAGCCATCTATGGCTTGCTTGTTCTTTCTTTCATGAAGGGATGTCAGTGGAGGAAATCCATCCGCAGGACAAGTCCATTGATTTTTGCACTGTGGAGTGGTTCTAGCACACTATAGTAAAAACCTCTGGCCATGATATTTTAAGAAGGCCTGCTGAGATCTCCTCTTCCTCCCCAAAAGAAGGTCCTAGCATATGGTTTGTAATATGGATGTGATTATGTCATGTGATCAATTGTGTAACAGACTTTATTATAACTAGATCAAATCAGAAATGTTCTGGGTCTTACGTTCTTGTTGGGGAAATACAAGAATTGGCAACTCCAAATTTCAACTAATAAATGTTCTGTCCTACACATTGACAATAAAAATCAGAACAAGTTGGGCGGAAATGATCTCGTAGACAACCCTCATTCTTTAAACGATCTAAGCCCCAGAGCTCACTATAACAGCATTGCCAAAAAGGCATCAAGAGTTGTTAACCTTATTTTGTGAAGCTTCTTCTCTGGTAACATTTAATTGCTAACTAGGGTACACAAAACCTTTGCCAGATCAATTCTTGAATACAGCTTGTCCTCCTGGAACCCACACGGTATATTGGACATTAACACGATTGAATGGGTTCAGAGGTATTTCTCAAGAAGAGTACTCCACTTCTCTACTCACAATAGTATTCCCTATGACTTCAGGCTTGAAATTTTGGGCTTGGAAAATCTGGAAATGTGCCGCCTGCAGTCTGATCTAAGCATAGTTCACAAAATTGTCTGCTATAACATTTTGCCTATCAACGACTTCTTCAGTTTCAACCATAATAATACATGGGCAAACAACTGATACAAACTCAAGGCAAACCCCTCCATACTTGATTGCAGAAAATACTATTTCAGCAACAGAATGGTCAACGCCTGGAACGCCCTACCCGACTCCGTTGTTACAACCTCAACCTCTCACAGCTTCAATCTCAAACTGTCTACTGTGGACCTCACCCCATTCTTAAGAGGTCCTAAAAGGGGGCGTGCATAAGCGCACCAGCATGCCTACTGTCCCCATTTATCTGCATTTCCTTTGTTCATATTTATGTTCATACCTATACTTGTTTTCTTGTACAAATAAATAAATAAATGAAATGAAATAAATAAGAAAGTCCCAATTTAGAGTCCTGGCTGTTATGTAGCCTAACTTTTTTTTTTTTTTATAAGAATTAAAATTACATTAATAACAAAAAAAACCCTACTTCTTCCAAGCTGTACATTGCACATTGCTTTTTCATAGGTGATATCCTTAGTGACACAGCATTACTAAAATACATTTTAGTGATATCAACATGCATGTAATGACTATTCAAAGGTTTATCTAAGTTATGCCTCCTATATCAGAAAGAAATTCAGCTCCCCTCCTATTGTATCGTCTCAATTCTTATTTATGAAGGAATGTCACTTGGTGGGATTCAGGAAATAGGCCTTTTCTGTTGCCATGCCTGTTTTTCTGGAACATCATAACCCCAAAATTCAGCAGGCTGGAACTCTGCAAGCATTTGAAAGACTTTGGCTATTTTCTTGGGTGTGGATATTGAGAGGTCAATGGAGTCCATAAGATTATTTGTAGTGATCGTTGTTGACCTCAGCTGTTACTGTATGTACATTTATTGTTGTTTTTAAATTTAGCTTTAAATTGACTGCCCAGAGTCATTAATGGTTAACCATATACATTGAAGTGAGTTAACGAATAAGTATACATCTGTTACCAGCAGTTTGGATGATTATGATGTTACTTTTGCCTCAATCATTCCACCAGCAGGTGGTGCTCACACAAAATGAAACCCATTTTTTTATTTTGCAGATCTGAAGAAATGAATCCTGATGTGTTTCATGTTTTTCTTACATTCTGGGCATATGCTGCTATTAAAAAATAAACTATTGAAAGTGTACAGCATGTTGTTATAACTAAGCAGTGTGGGTACTTGGGCTTCTTAAAATGTGCATTAGGAATTAAAAATAAAATGTTGGTGAGGATATTATTTTTTTAAATACACATGGTGACAGAATGAATTGGCTGACCAGAAAGTGCTCAGTACCAAAAGATGTTTTTCATTATAATTAGTATTATTTTAAACAAGAATATGGTTAAGCATAATATTTAGGACTCTAGTCTTTCCCCTGGTTTGTAAAACATGAAAGAAATGTTAATGGAATCTCTCAGCAATGACCCAGTGTCCAGGTTCCCGTATTATACTAAACACTTTAGTGGTGTTCCTTTGTACAGGTTTAAGCAAGAACTTCAGTTTAAATGTTCTAATCCATTTCAGGTTGCAATTTTACAATTTTTACAAACAGGATGGATGGCTTTTGTGGCATAGAAAAAAAAAACAGCGAGTAATTTCATTGGGAAATACAATGCAGAAATTAAATTGTTTCTAATATATATTGAGTCATGCTTAAACATGATGCTTACTTTGGAAAATATCTCACCTTTTCAGATTATATATTATTTGTTTTATTATTTATTTATCTATCATATTTATGTAGTTGCCCATCTCAAAGGAATGTGATTCTGGGTGGTGAACACTTAATTAGAAAAGTTAAGACAGTATTTTAAAAAATTCACAAAACTATTAAAAGGTACACAAAACAAGAAATGATATTAATTACAGTCAGGAAACCATTGCAAAATCTCCCCAGTCTCTGGATCCCCAGGCATACCCAGATCTTGAGGAACTTAAGTGAACACAAAAATGCAAAGAATATTAATAAAGTTATGTTAGAATTATCTTTAAAACAAAATACTTGTTATGCTGAATATTACCAAGCCAATTATATGAACTGGTAAAGAAACAAGTACACAAAAATGTATTACTCCATTCTTTGACAATTGTATAAATGTTGTATAAATGTAATTGTTTTGAATGGGTGATGAAAACAATGCTCTATATAATACAGGGTGTATCAAAAGTCAGGTTCCATAGACAATTTGTTATACAAACTACATTAATTTTTCAATTAGTTGCCATTTTTTATAAACACTTCCTTATCGTTTGATGCATGGCCTTAGAATATTCCTATTTGTATTGTATCTCATTTTCCCTAGCTGAAACAGCAATGGGAGCTGTAGGCAACACAACTGAAGGGCACCAAGTTGGGGATCCTGACTAATTCTCTGGGTGATGATTAGCTAGCTTTTTTCCCCTCCTCCTCATACCAAAAAAGACCAATAGGTGGCTATAGTTTGGAGAACTGTTTTAAGTGGATGAAATATTGAACACTCATTTATTTTAGCAGTTAGAAAAGGGAGGACACAAAATAGATTTTTCTGAAACTATTCTGATAGTGATAGGCTGCTATATCAAGAGAAACCTGGTGAAATTCAAAGAAATGGCAAGAGAATGATTGTTTCTGGGGTGATGATACAACCAAGGTGAGTTTGTCATGAATTGGCAATATATACAGGGCTATATGCAACATGTTTGAAATTAGCATTTTTATTACATTTTGTGATGAAAAATTACAAATGTATAAAGACTAATTATAATCACTTAATGTACATAAAAAGATTGAAGTTGAAATTGAAGTTGCAATTATTTGAAATCATTTATATCTATACTAATTACTTGCTGATTTCTAAAATCAATGCTTAACTAGCCCATTTTCCGGGTCATTTGGTAGCCTTTAATGATACATTCCTGTACCAGTATTTACCAATTCGCAATCAATTGTTCCTCAGTAGAGAATATTGTATAAAAATGCAGTAAAATAAACCATTTGTTTGAAATACTACAGAAGTTATATAATAACCAGAAATTACAAAATCCTTCAATAGAAATCACTTATTAAAGGAAAATGTGAAAAATTATACAAATTAAAACAAGAATCACTGAATTGTCATAAAAAAGATTGATCAATAACATAGGTTTGGAGAAAGATGCACAGTGATTTTTTTTGAAAAATTGCACTCTACTGATTTCATAAGAAATCTGTCAGTGAAATGCTTATCATATATAAAATCATATTGATTTATTAATTACATTCACCTAGTGGGTGACTCTAAGCGGCAATGTATATCTGTTGCTTTTCTGTTTGGATTGTTAGAAAAAAAAAAGAATAGGTTCCAAGCAATGCATAGAGAGAAAGAGAAACTCCAGGAATTGTATGTGAACCTTGGGGGATAGGAGAGCAAGGACTGGCTTAAATGGAGCCCATGGACCAAAAGGTCCTGCCAGTTGCAAAGCAAATCACCACTGAGATTTAAAGGTCAAAAGTCAGAATTAATCCACTGAGCTCTCCAAAACAAATATCACGAGATCAATCAGAGCTAGAATTGATCCCCAAATGGTGTCCAATATTGGTATTGAAGTGCTCTTAGCTATATAATGTAGCTGTTTAATTATAGCTCCTGCTCCTCTTTCTCTCTACATTTTCCCTTGAAAATTCATATTTTGCAAAACTGAACAGTTGCTAATGGCTGTTTCTGTATTTCCTAAATTTAAAAGTATTTTTTTAATCCTATTTTTTTAAAAAAATCCTAAATTTAAACAAAACTGTCCCCAGCCATAAATTTTAACTGGTTAAAAGCCATTTGGCTGACCATCTGGATTTATACACAAATTATGTGACATATTAAACTATATTGGTCTTTCTCCATCTCTTATGAATCAGCTTCATGTTTTCTGTTGGTGAAATGGAGATACCTGCAAAATATCAAACTGAAGCAACATTTTCATGCTTGTTGTTTTGTTAATAAGAATGAAGTCTAGAACAAGGATCTAGTCACAATACATCCAGATTTTTGAAATGGAAAAACTATGCTGGGATAAACCGTAGCTTAAAAATACTTCCTATATTTTACTGTTTAGGTTAGAACAGCTGCCTTTCCCAACATGGTGCCTCATGATGAGCTCTTCAAATAACAGTTCCTTCTATTATACAGTAAGCACATCATGGTCAGGAACTGATAGAAGATGTCATTCAACACATTAGTCTGGCACCAATTCAAGGGAGGCAATAATAGAGGTTATAGCTTCTATCCCTTTACTTTTGAAATGTATTGTCCAACTGCTGTTTCTTTGGTACTCTGGTACTTTTGGCACAATGTCTCTTCAACAGGCTGACCATCTTGTTATTAAGATTTCACTTCAGGGATATGATTAGCAGGTTGTTCGACAGCATGCTCATTTTTCCATATACAGCATGATTTATAATTTTCTACTACTTTGGCCTGAAAGTTGGATTTATCCGTCTTCTGCCAGAGATCAGTGGCAATGTAGATATTGTAGGGGTCATTGGAATGTTCCAGCTTTTTGGAGCGGATATAGCTAATCATGACCCCAAAGGTGATGAATCCAAAAAATCCAAGCAGCAGAAGTATAAACACTACTTCCAGATGGTCACTAGAATCAATGAAGGGTACAGGCGTAGGGTGGGTTTTCTTCTCTAGGTAGTCTTCTAACAATTTTGAGAGGATCAAGGTTAAGGCTGTGTTGTTTGATGGCATTGCCATTGTGTCATGAGGGATGCAGCTGTTTCTACAAGATCTAGAGAAGTTTGAAAAAAGATAGTTAAAAAGAATGCATGAAAATTATAGTATCTAATACTGTCTTCAAACTGACCTATAAAAATGATACACTTTTAAAAATTGGGATTGGTTCTTGAACTGTATATGCTTCAGATCTTTATTTCATCTAAATGAATCATGTGAACCATGGGCCAATCGTCTCCCTAAACATTGCTATTATTTGTAACCAAAAGATATTCCATGTGAAACAATAATGAAGCAATTGATAATATGCTTAGTAATAGGAGATGAAATAAATCTGACAACATATATTGCTTTATTCCTCTGTATCTACTGTAGTCTGTTGGTTATTATAATTTTATCATGTACTCATACTTTTCATAAGAATGCGATAAGCATTTCCCTCATTGATATTTGTACACTAAAATTGCTCAGCTTCATTATGTGTTGGATAGAAATTAGTAAAAAGGAAAAAGGGAACCAAAAGTAGAGAGATTGCTGTATTCCCTGGTTTGTTAGGCATTTCCTAAATTTTAGTTAAACTACATGATACCCATTTGGTATCACTGTATAACTGATGGTTGAATTTGGTTTTAAATTCAAAACAAGACCCTTGTAGGAAGAGATATGAAAGATTAACAACATTTCCTTTTTATGAATTAACTTCACAGGTATGAAAATTAGAAGCAGGAGAATGAAATTGCTTCATTCATTAGGCAGATAATTTGTGTTGTAAGCAGATAATTTTAATGCAGACTAGGAGTTCTAGTGGGGAAAATGGACAGTTGATTGCTCTGCTGGTTCCACCCTTCATTCCCACCCCCGTATAGTTAATTTCTGAAAACAATTGTAGGGATAGTTCTTCATGCAGTTGGGGGCCCAAGTCGTGTATCTGATCAGGTCTGATATGATTGTGCATCTATTTCCAGGCTCTCTGCTGGTAATCCAGGCTTCCAAGTGTACTTAATTCCTCGCAAATGCAGTGTGTCTGAAAACTTTCAGAAATCTGATGATTACTGAATTAACATACTAACAACTAATAAGAACCACAAAAACTGATTCACAGAGTTTCAGAAACATGGATGTTTGGGCACTTTTCTTTTTTTAATGAAGATGGTGGTTCTGTTTAGAGGCACAGGTGGGATATTGCAGTTAGCCCAGCTGTATAAATGGGGAGGCTCATGAATACAAAGCTATCTAGTATGAAGCATAGAGGTGCTACATAATTTTGTGTATTTTTCACATGTTTAGTATACTCTTCTTAGTGTACACTGCCATTTATTTATGAAGTGATCATGTTTTATATTACATTTGTGGCACATTTGGGGTTTTCTTTGTTTTTGTTTATGATACCCTGGAATCATAGGATGAGATAGTGATTAAGAATTACTTTTTACTGGAAAAAATAGATTTCAGATTTTTTCATTTTTTATTTTCGTATGGCTATTATTCTTTAATTCTTCAGGATGTATTTATTGGAAATTTGCCCCTATGTCCTGCTCTTTCTTCTAGAAAATTATAGCACTAATACAAAATGAATATATCCTATTTCTATATCAGATTTCTAACTATTTGGCCATGCCTCTATCTCAGATAATCATGGCACAAACATGCATTGGCAATGTCTTTTTTATGCCATGACTCCGTGATATTACCTATATTACTAGCCCATGACTGACATAGCTTTAAGATATCCTAATCTATCCCAATGTTTAAAAAAAAAAACACGTTTTCCTCTTATTCCACTCCATCCAAAAGCAGCCTGAAGGGACTCTGTGTAATACAGCAGACCTAGTCAAAATCACCATAACATGCTGGGAGCTATAGTTAAGTGAAATCTAGAAGGCCACAGTAGCTCATTTATATGCTGGATGATATTTGTTTGTTGAAAAATGTGTTTTTGTTAGTGTAAATAATTGGGCTGGATTCAATTCTGTAACTAATTCTGTCATTGGTTTCAGTTTCTAAAAAAAATGTTCAGGTCTGCAACATGCATGCCATATTATTTTTGTAGTTCTTGATTATTTTTGTATTGTGTTTGTGTGTGCATGTGTGGGTTCATGTGCACAAGTTTGTTAAATTGATTAGTCTGGGGGTATTTTTCTGAGGAAGCTTTTGTGTGAAGTTGCAGGAGATAACAAGAAATATCAGCTTAGAATAGCCTTCCTCAATTTAGCATGTTCCAAATGTATTGGGATTATAACTCCTTGAATGTTTGGCTTAGTATGGTCTTTGCCTGTGAAAACTTGGTGGGGTGGGAGAATTGTAAACATAACTGGAGAACAAGACCTTGAGGAAGTCAGAAGCATCTACAGTAATATCTATGCATGTAACTATCCGTTTTGGGGTGTGTATAATTACAACTGATTAGTGTCAAATTACTCAATCTTCCTTGGATATTAACAGATTGATTTATTGGACATAATTAACTTTTTAGAAACAGTGATCAGCTTTCCATTGAGCAAGAGGCATGCCATGAAACCTTATTTCTGCCCCACTTTCCCCAAATAATATGCAGTATGCACATTAAGAGCAGATGTGGATCTTTGCATCAAATGGTATTTAAAAGGATAAGCTATCTGCCTACATAGATTAAGAAAAAAAGGAAAGAAAAATGAACGCTGTATAGTTTTTTTAAAAAAATATAGGGCTCCAGTGCCTATGTACAATGTAATCCCCTCTTTTTAAAAATATTATTTATTTCCAAACAAGCGGATATAATATTGTAAAGAATTACTACACTGGTGTGAACAGTTAGAGTTGTTTGCCACATTCTAATTCACCTGTATAATGTGTATTTGAAAAATTCTTCATAGCAATACTACACGTGCACATGTGTGTCCATGAACACACACACACACGCACACACAATATCTGAATTGTCAAGTTTCAGGCAAGATGTCAACACTGCATGTTAATCAATATAACAGTGGATGTAAAAATTAAATCCTATAATTTAAAGTTAAATCCTATAGTTCACCTATAATTTCAAGTGCTGTGATGTTTCAAAGCAAAAATTATTCCCATGCTTCCCCCTTCAGCAAAAAAAAAAAAAAAAAGTATTTTACAGTATAAAATGACTTCAGGACAAAAATCAACCGATGAATAAAAATAATCAAGCCAATGAAAAGAAGCTCAGGAGATGCCAGGCTGCTGCCTCAGGTGCCCCAACAGAAAAGAAGATTTACATTTCTGATTAGCAAGAAGCGAGGGCAGAAGCAAACTGGGAAAACATGCAAACTCACCAAGTTGTGCGAAGGAGGGAGCCTGCAACCTGGGATGCTGTGAGTCAGGCTCACACTCTGAGAATGGCTAGAAAGAAGCCTGAAGTTTGGCTGTCGGGAATCCACCCAGCTTGTACGGCTGTGCCTCCTGGGAGGGACCTAGTGACTGAGCTCACAGCCTCATGCTTTGAGAGCGCACATGAGAGAAGGCAGCCTATAACCAGCTGGCAGAACAGCAACACGAGGTAGAGGAAGGTGACACACACTTCCAGGTAGAGAAGGAATGCTCAGGAACACAAACAAGCAAGGAAATGGGCCATGTGCAGAGAAGAGCCTGGTGTTCATGCGGCATCATCAGTCATTTTCCTGGACTGCTTTTCTTCATGCTTTTCATTGTTTAATTTTACTTGAGTTTTAATCCTACCGTGCTTATTGAGAATCGCTTGTACTCATAGATTAAGAGATAATTTTATAGTTGTATTGATATGTGCAAAGGAAATTGGGAGCATCCTCTTTGTACTGCATTTCCTTCGATTCTTTCTTTTTGTACTTTTACTCTTTTTCTTCCAACTCTCCTTTTTTTTTTCTTTACTGCTTTTGCTCTTTATTAGTTCTTGTTACTTTTTATGTTCTTTGTAAAAATTTAATGAAAAGATCATTAAAAATAAATTCCCAGAATTGCAATGGGGGGGGGGGTTATATAAATCACTTCAATCACTATATAAATCTATCAGTCAACCATCTGTTAACACAAGGGTCAAAATAATTCTGACTTGTGTCACAGAACAAATAGGCAGGGGCAATTTAAAAAGCCACTGATTCAGTTCTGTGGAGCTACTTTATTAAAAAGAGAGAATGACTGGCCCAAATCACCCAGCCATTTTCCATGACTAAATCTTAGGTCTCCCAGTTTCCAGCCTGATGCCTTAACAATCACTTAGTTAGTGATGAGATCCAGGGTAGACCAAGCAACTTTGTATTAGAAAGTTTGGCCAAAGCCTCATCACTCTGCCTGCAGTTGCAAACCTGCACAAAGGTAGCATTAAAGTTCTCCTTCAAGACAAGGAACAAATCTGACAAAGAGTTTGCAGTTTTGATATGCTCCAGGTCCTTTGGAGTTTAGTTCCCAGAACTCCCACCTAACATTTACATACCAGTTCTGAGCTGGGGTGAATTCTTTCCCTATGATTTTATGAAACAACTCTTTCATCTTATCTGTCTCTCCTTTTTCTTTCTGTCTTGTGAACAATATAAAACAACTACCCCCATCTACAATTACCCTGATCAGCTTGGATCATTGGATTCTTGCTGCTAATGTCAGGAAGCTAGATAACACCATATTAAAACACAAACAAACCTACCGCACTTTACCCTAGAATATTCTGAGTATCTATCCAATCCAATAGTTAACTTGTGGTTCAGGGTGCTGTGCAAATTCTGAACATTGAGTTTATTAAATAAATTGAACCTAACTTGCCTTGGATAAATACGTCATGTGAACACTCCCAGTCTGGACACTGGTAGTCAACAGACCATGATCAGCTAATCTGTGTTGACTGGATTACTGATTCTTCCCTAGTGTATTCCTTGAGAGAAAGATAAGCATGAGGGTATTGAAAGGACTGCATAGAAATGTATATTTATGTAGAGCTAAAATGTTGTTTATCACGGGGCAAAAAGATTCACATGAAATAATGATATTTTGCAGAGCATCTGAATTTACTCTCTCCAACCGCAATGTTTCTTCTACAGAAGCGCCATAAAATCATTTTAGCAACACAATGGGTCTTGCTTCTCCCAGAATGCTTCAGAATGGGGCCTTTTGAGAGCCGTGACTCTGAGAAAGAAAGTGTTTAAGAAAGTGTTTACATTTTTAAAAACAGGGACTTTAAAAGGAAAAGAAAAGTACCAGCATCCCCACCAGACACTCTACTTTCTATAATTTTTAAGTAAATCTTCAGCTGAAAGCATTGCACAGTCAGTTTGCTCACCCCGTTCTATATGTCCAGCTGACAGCAATTTGTGCCCAGTTTTGTGTACTAGATCATGTTCTTTCTTATCCCTTTGATTTTATCTTCAAAACAAATTGCTGGTATTAGTGATTGATTTTGTGGATAAGGAAGAAAAGGCAGCTGTATGTAGCATAGGCAAAAATGCTTTGCTGGTACCCAGTGACATTTTCCAGATACTTATGTTTAATATTATATAGTTATTTCTGAAAGATTTCACAATGAAATCATGGCACAACTTGAGTTAAAAATAGAGAGCAGAGAAAGACTCTATTTACGAAACACTGCAGAAAGAAGGAAAGCCAAGGTGAGAAGTTATGTCTAGGGGATCCTTATTTTTATGTATTGTAGTTTATTTGGAAAAAAAATGAGTCAGTGCTTAATCGGTAACAGTGGAATGCTGAGACATTATCTGTATGAAAGTTCTGCCATCTTTGGAAGCAAGAAACGGTAGTAACTGTTTTCTGCAAATTCAGAAGCAGTCTTTTTGTTTATTTAGGTGAAAACTAAATGAATTCAAACACTGTAAGTTTGAAACAGTACTTAGATATTTGCTTGTACATATTTTATGTCTTTTGCTTTCTAGATCTGTGACTTAGATCTTCAGTTATTCGGCAGTACCTTGGGCAGCCAGTGAGAAATAAAGCAGTGCTTTATCTCTCTTTTACAACCAAGAGTTTTGTCAGTGTTTGGTAACCTTCTAGCAAAGGAAAAGAGGCTCAGGTTCAGAAACAGCTTGAACAATCCAACAGGACTAGATGCTAGAACTATCAACTTCCATTCACGACCATAAGAAGGTTGGCCATCCACAGCTGAGGTATGTCCATTCTTTGGCCATTATAGGATCATTTACACCAGAGGATTGTTGGGACACAGCAACTTAATGATTCATGGCAGGATGAACACACTGGTGTAGATTTCAAGGCACTGAAATCATATGGACTATAAACATATCTATATTAATTATGAAATGAATGAGTCAGCACTTGTGTAGCTTGAGGTATGGAGGATGAAGGAAAAACACAAACATGTATAGAACTGGTTTATCCAAACAAGCAGAAGCAAATTTGTACATTCGCCTTAAGCATGTAACTTAAACAAATGCATTTATCAGTTTAGGCGCTTTTAGAGGTTGAGCCAATACAAACAAGTGGATGTTGCCAGGGTCAAATCTAAATTTGAATTGAACTGAAATCAAATTATTTAGATGCAATTTATACAATGTTCCCAATAGGCATGGTTATTCCCCCCGCCCCCCATCAACAAGAAAATTGAAAAGACTTTCAAAAGCTGGATTCCTAGGTTGAACAATGGTTGCGTTTTCACAAATAAAACTACAACAAGCATGTGCTTAGCCAACTGAAGAGTTGCATTTAATTATTTATTAAATTTATGTCCTGCCTTTCCTCCAAGAGCTCAAGGAGGTATACATAAACTTCCACCTCCATATTTTCTAAAATAACCTCATGGGTTGTTTGAACCGAGAGAGACTGACTAATACAAAGTTACTCAGCACGCTTTCGTGGCTGAAATTGAGCCTGAACCTAGATCTTCAAAGTTAAACATTTCCTAGGACCAGGAGGAAATTACAAATAACTAGCAGCATTGAACTAGAAAAAACTAGAGGATCAATGCAAATGATAAGATGATGTTGCAGCACTAATAAATGCATGGTTAATATTCTCTTACGGGTATCCTAAATCTTTGTGTTTTATAGGCTTAAGTATCCACACTGATTTTTCATATGTATATGAATATGTATATAACAAACAAAAATTTGATGAGCTGGAATAGAATTATACTTTCATTTTACTTTCAGTCTCTACATATTTTTTCAAAAACCAGATCTCCACAACTGTTTAATGTGTAAACCCTTCCCTGGCCATGGACAAGGGTAAATGAGGGAAGATCAAATTAGCCCCCTCCTCCAACCTGGCACTTCTAAATATATATAATTATATAAATATAAATATAAGAATATATATATGTATATGTATATATATGTATGTATGTATGTATGTATGTGTATATATATATATATATATATATATATATATATATATATATTGCACGAAGTTAACATTCTTACATATCTGAAGGCATCAGAATGGGGAAGGCTAGTTTTATATATGTAATATGTTCAGCGTCTGATTGAGTTTCACACAGTGCATCTTTCTCATGATCACACAGACAAAATCACATCAAGCAAAAACCATCCTAAGGACCAATTTACATTTTTTATTTATTTGTAACAGTGTAAGATTTAAAAAATTGTTTCTCCAGGAGTTTGACATTTGCATTTAGATAGCTCTGTAAGCATCATGCTGCCAAAACAAATAAATAACTTTGGATGCTTTGCTGACTTGGTTGGAAGATAATAAAAGCGGGAAATAATTGCAACTGCTTTGCCATTCAGTGATTAACTATTTATTTTCCTGCAAAGTAATACTTCTGATTTCATTGTGTTGATATATTGTGACTTGTGTACTTAATAACCAGGGTCCCTTTGGAATTAATCAAGGACTTCAGATAAATTTAGCTGATAATTTCACATGGTTAGCAGAATGCTAATCTTTTCTTTGGGTCCATTTCTCCTCCAGGTAATCCCTCAAGACCTGACCCTCCATCCTTGTGATTTTATTCACTTAGAAGCATGCAATAAAATCATCTACCCCAGAAGTGCAACAGCCCAAACTAGCTAAATCCCATTTAGTTTATTATTATTATTACCTTTATTGCCAAAGTACAACATATGTACAATGACATTGGCTGAGCCTCTTTACCAGCCAAGATCTCCATCTCTTCAACTCTGCTACCAGCTCCTTAGCCCATTTTAACTTACTTCAGGGTGAGAGAGTTTCTGCCTGTGTGAAAACTTTATATTTATTTTACCCCAGTTATTTTCCAAGCTTCTCAGCCATACAGTATAGTACAGCATATGCTGTATGTCTGGGAGATCATGTTACACAATGACATCTGCTTCAGAGTTGCTCTAGGGAAGAAGAATCCAAAATCCATAGCTGTGTTTTAATTTTTCTGAGCATTATCTACAACCTCTCAAACTGTATATAAGTTTTTGAGTTCTTCAAATGCTTAACCAAAAAAGGAGTTATAAAAATTGGGATTAGCAAAGATTAAGCCAGCCCAAAAATTAGGACAGTGGGTTCACTCAGGAAGTCTGTAATTCAAAGTCAGTTTCAAGTTGCAGATTGTGGATTAAATAATTAAATTATGCCATCAGAGACAAACTAAGCCAAAGGTATATCTATA